ATATATACTGTGTTGGATAGCTTTAGGGTCAACTTAACACACCTAGGTTGAGGGAGCCTCAATTGGGGAATTGCCTCTATTGGCCTGTGGCCATGTCTGTGGGGCATTTTCTCGATTGTTGAGTGATATGGGAGGACCCAGTCCACTGTGGGTGGTGCTATCCCTGGGCAGGTGGGTCTGTGTTGGATAAGAGAGCAGGCTGAACAGGGACCAGGGGAGCAAGCCAGTAAGCAGCGTTCCTCCATGGCCTGTGTTCCAGCTCCTGACTCCAGGTTCCTGCCCTGAGTTTTTTCCTTGGGCTCCTGGATAAACTGTGACCCAGGAGATGTAAGATAAAATAAACCCTTTCCTCCCCAAGTTGGTAGTGGTCAGAGTATTTTGTCACAGCAATGAAGAACAAACCAGAACAGAAATACATACACACATATATATACCTGACAAACCTAACATAACAACACAGCCTGGAAGTAAAACCTAACATTGTGAGGAAAACAGTGACTCCTCAATCACAGTGAGATTTTTCATACAAAGTTTCTCAGAAAGTGACTGATCACAGCAAACTAAATACCAGTAGAAAGATAAAAAGCCTTAGTAACATAATTAACAAGCCTTATCTAAGAACCTGAAGCATGCGTTAAGAACTCACACTCAACATTTAGAGAACAGGCAGGCATCCTTTTCCAGCACTCACCAGCATCTACAAACTCCGCCCATATTAAGCCAAAAGGCAGATTTTAGTATCAGACTGGTGTTTTCAAAGGAGAATGCAATTGCATTAGAACCCCATCATCAAAACACAGCCCAAGAACCCCCAAACTCTGCATGGAAGGAAGAGTTTAAGTCCTGTGTAGAGACACGATCTCTTGCCCGTCCCACTGGCTGGGGTCTGTGGTAGTGGGACACAGCCACGCACAGCAAGTGCTCAGGCAGGGGACACAGTGGAGCTTGGTCCACCACCTGCCCAGGGCCGCAAAGGCTTTGCAGAGGCTGCGCGCCACGCTAAGAAAGCTCTACCTTTTGACAGCTGCTCAGGGGAGGTCTGGGCCTTCTCCACCTCGTCCAGCTTTTCCTCTCGAGCTCTGTCCTTGTTATCCGAGTTCTGATGTTTGTCCTCACCCTCCACTCTGTCCAGGGCAGTTGGCAGAGCCTAGGAAGGACAGGCTAGGTGGCTGCAGGACCCGGGCCTCAGCAGGAATGGAGGGCAGGGAATGAATGTGTACTAGGCCAGAAGCCCTCAGCCCACCTGTCACCACTTGCTCCCCTCCTTCTCCCTTGGATCCAGAAACTGGAACAAGGAACCAGGAGGCCTGGGTTCTACCAGGCTGGGCCAGGCCAACCTCCACCCACACTTGCCACAGGCTGAGCCACCAGCAACTTCTGTACCTGGATTTCCAGGGATTTCTTTGGCTTCTGCAAGCCTGGCTCCTTCTCATCCAGGTAGCCCGACTGGGCTTCCAATTTGTCTGCAGTATTAAGGAAAAGAGGTGAGATGGGTGGGCTTGGATAAGGTGAGGGACAGAGGGTAGGGAAGGGGATGCCAGAAGGAAGAGAGGCCTGGCCATGGTGGAGCATTGAGTAGGATTCCAGGGAATACCAGAGTGCCTGGGCCAAGCCTCCAACTTGGGCCCAGTAAGGTCAGAGCAGGGCCTGTCAGGGTAGAGGAGCACACAGTTTCAGCTGCCCTCTAGAAGCAGGGTGGGGGCGGGGAGCCAGGACACCTCCAACTTTGGGGCTACTGACTAGTCATGTGCCTCTGAACTGATGAGTCTCCTCTACACTAAACCAGATGCTGGTGACTCATGAGCCTCTGAGGACTCCTGAGAGGTGGGTACCATCACAGCCTACATCACGCATGGGAAACATACGTTCACATGGTTTCTGCGCCCAAAGTCAGGGTGGAGACAGGAAGCAAGCTGAAGTTTGACCCCCTCCAAAGGACTGATGCCAAGAAGGGTCACAAAGACATCACTGGAAGAGCTGTGCTCCATCTACCACCTGGGTATGTACCCCAGGTATGACACCCAACAAACCCATGAATCACCAAATCATCCAATCACAGATGGACAAAGGCTGGGGATTTTAGTGTGCAAGACAGAAACAGGAGGATGGCCACAAGTTCAAGGCCAACCTGGGCTACATAGTTCCTTGATAGCTTGGGCTACAGAGTGAGACCTGCCTCAAAATAGAAATAGGTAAAGGATCTGAAAAGACAGTCCTTCAAAAGGATATAAAAGTAACAAAGATGTTCAATGTGCACAATCCTCAGGGAAATACAAATCCAAACCACCCCGAGCCTATACAGCACATTCCTTCATTAGGGGACCTGTCAGATACAGTGGTGAGGACGTGGGGAGGTGGAGCCCTCAGACATTACTGAAAGGATGTAAAATGGGACGGACGCCTCTAGAAAATGGTCTGGAAACTCTTAAAAGAATAAGCAGAGTTGAGGAGCAGCTCAGTGGCAGAGCACTTGTCTAGTCTGCACGAGGCCCTGGGTTCTAGGCTTAATACCACTAAAAAAAAAAGAATTTTTTTAAAAAGATTAAGCAACTTGGGACATGCTAAGTAGAGAATGTGCTTTCTGACCAAGCACGTGATCTGAATTCAGATCCCCACCATCCACATGGTGACATGTGCCCTCAATGGTTAGCTCCGGGTTCAGTGAGAGAGCTCGGTCTCAAAAAAATAAAGTGGAAGGCCAGGTACAGTGGTTTACATCTTTAAAATCAGTATCCAGGAAGCAGAGGCAGGAGGATCTCTGTGAGTTCCAGGCCAGCCAGGGCTGTGTAGACAAACCCTGTCTCAGAAATATAAACCAGGATCTAGAGAGATGGCTCGCCATGAAGAGCACCTGCTGCTCCTGCAGAGGACTTGAGTTTGGTTCCCAGCACCCACATGGCAGCTAACAACCATCCTTACTGCAATTCTAGGGGATCAGATGCCCTATTCTCATCTCTGGGGGCATTGTATGCATATGATATATATATTCAGACAAAGCACTCATAACACATAAAATACAAGCGAGGAAGACACCTTATATTGGCCTCCACACAGGGAGCACACGTGTGTACACATGTGCACATGCACACACACACATGCACACATACACAGAGTTAAGCAGTCACCGTATGATCCAGCAAGCCATTCCTAAGTATGTGCCCAAGAAAACTGAAAACCCACATCCACACAAGCACATGTGCACAGACACTCACTACAGCATTAGTCCAAGAGTCCCAACGTAGAAACAACCCAGACATGCATCAAGGGATGAATGGGCACACAATGAGCCCAATCCATGCAAGAGACATTCCTCAGCCACACAGAGGCCTGAAGGACTGACAGGATGCCTGGTGACAGGAACCACCATGGTGCCTGACTCGACTTCCTGCACCCAACAGAGCCAGTCCACAGGGACAGGGAGCAGATTAGAGATGGTCTGGGGCTCTGAGGGGAAATAAGAAGGGGCTGCTGATGAAGGAACGTGGTTTTTTAAGGGACGATAGAAATTTTCTTGCACCGACAGCAAAAATGGCAGAAGAGCCAGTGAATGGAGCAGGAGCCACTGGCCAGTGCACTTTAGAAGAGTGGATGGTGAGCCAGGTGTGGTGATGCACACCTTTAATTCCAGCACTTGGGAGGCAGAGGCAGGCGGATCTCCATGAGTTCAAGGCCTGCTGGTCTACATAGGGAGTTCCAGGACAACTGGGGCTACAGGGGCTACAGAGAGACCCTGTCTCAAAAAGACCAAAAAAAAAAAAAAGAGTGGATGGTACTGGCCAGCACACTTTAGAAGAGTGGATGGTACAGTAGGCATGTGGATAAAATCGCAAAGCTGTTACTAAAATGAAAAGGCCCCGGGGAAGCTTTTGCGGGCAGATGTTTTCTGGAGGAGACCCCACCATGTGCATTACACAGAGGACTCGGGGCTACTGTGGTCCCCTAATCCACATGCCCTCCCCTGGCACTCCCCAAGCTCAGACCTGGCAGACCCAGCGGGGCCAGTGGGAGCTGTGCAGGGCTGGCAGGTACAGGTGTGTTGGGGTCCGAAGAGATCACCTCGCCTGGCTTCTTGCCCTCTGGCCCCTCAGGGACCAGGTCTGGAGTACTGTATTTCCCATTGACGTGCTCGAACTCCTGAACCTGGGGCAGTCAGGGAAGCAGGGAGGATGGTGGTCACCACTCAGCCTTAAGGAGCCCCGGGGCAGCCCACAAGACTTGGAGTGCTGCAGAGTGTTGGGGTGCAAGGTTAGCCAGGACAGATGCACTTCTGACTCAAACTCCCCTACCAGTGAACCCACTCTTCTGCCCTCCACCCCCCAACCCTCTCACTGTAAAGCTTCCAGGTTATCCGTTTGGTCTGTCTCTGACCTGGGTAGCTGTGTGGCCTCAGCCAGACACTTGCCCTTTGGTGCTGATCCCCCAGAGGCAGTGCCAAGATCACATGACAGCCAGAAGGCCAGTACAGGCCTACTCACCCACCTTCTTCCTAACCAGCGACATGACCCCGATACGGGTGAGCACGTGCTGCCTGGACAGGCCTTCTCGAGGTACACCGTCAGCGAAGGTCTCCGCACCGTCTGCCCCCGGCTCACACAGGTGCCGCATGAAGAGGGACACATAGGCTCTGGGGTAGGGGGGACTGGGGCTCAGGGAGTGAGGGAAGGTTGACATAACCCCTCAGGGACCTCTTGGATGGAATCCTCTACCACAGCTTGCTTCGAAACCAAGCCTTCTGGGGTCAGACCCCTGGAAAGGACAGAGGGGCCTCCCTGGCAGGGGATTCCCCTCAGATGGCCCTGACTCTGGATGGTCCAGTTTTTTCTCACTGCCCTTAGGGGATGAGGCAGGGGCTAAACACTGGTAGCCAGTGTTCTCTATAAATCAGCTCTGCACAAAACACTGCGCCCAAAGATCTGATGACCACAAACTCCCCAGGCACCCTTGGCCAGGCGGGAGAGAACAGTGTCCACTGCCTAGAGGGCCTGTCCCCAGGGGAGGGAGGCTACACCCTCCTTGACCACTACCTTGCTTGGTCCCTTTACCTGAACTCCTTCTCACTTTTCCCACGAAGGTCTCGCACCAGCCAGTGGGAATTGAAGGCGTCCTGGGGGGGCATACCCCAGCGCATGATGGCGTTCAGAAAAGCTTTCCGCTGGCGGGCGTTGAAACCCAGCACCTGGGCATGGTGGAGAAGCGGTGTGATCCCAGGTTAGAGGGGGTGGGCACAGATTTCAAGACAAGGGAAGGAAGACAAGAGGAGCCTGAACCCAGACGGTCCCTCCCAACTTCACCTCTACGTGGCCTGTGAGCCTGGGCAAGTCCCAGATCCTCCTTCACACCCCAGGGGTGACAGGGAACGGGGCTGGGAGAGATTAGGGTGCAGGAGGGCCCCACCTCAATGTTGCCCCCAACTCGAGCCAGAAGAGGCGGCAGGGGTTTGTCCCTGTCACTCTTCAACTGCCTCCTGGATTGTCGCCGTCCACCTAGGGAATAGTCCACCACACACCCTCAGCCTGGAGTGCATGGGGTTCCACCGGCATGCTCCAGGACAGCATAGCCTCAGGACATCCCCCCACAGCTCCTCTGGGGTTGCCCAGCGCAGTCCCACTTGGCCATCACTCCCAAGTACACTGGTCCTCCCAAGCACAGTGTGGCCGCACAGGTCCTGACACTCACTCTGCCCTTCTGGTCTCTCCTCAAAGTCTTCGTCCTCATCCTCAGAGCCGATGGAATATTCAGACTGGTTATCTGAGAGCTCATCCTGCCACTCTGTAAGCAGCCAACAGAGGGACACAGCAAGGAGTGATACAAGCAGAGGCCTGCCCCAGCCTCACACACCCAGGGCCAGGCCAAACCCCTCCACCCCAGTGGAAGAACACACGGCAACCATAGCTATCAGGTACTCCCAGAAACTCAGCTGATAATCCCAGTGTTACTGTGGAATTACATCATGACTGTCCCCTTTACAGCTGAAAAGACTCAAGGAGGCTCGCCCATGCCCACACCCACACTTAGAGGCTATGAGGCCGCTAGACTGAGAGCCATCTCATCTCCCCAAATCCAGGCACCCCACCCCTGTCAGCAGCCTGGCCACCCCACCTCCCACCCCACCCCCCATGCAGCACCTGCTCTCCACACCCCCACTGGCCAGGGCCGTGCACAGGAACGCCTCTGCTCACCACACGCACCCTGGTCCTCCTGGGAGGCGTCGTTGTAGTTGACCTGCTTGCGGATGCGCTTGCCTTTGCCCAGGTTGCGGGCCAGGTCCTCCTGCTGCTGCTCATAGTGATGACGTAGCAGCTTTTCCCAATAGTCAGGGTCCACGTTCTCCTCCTGCTTAATCACCTCCCGCTCTACCTCTTCCTGGGGACGCAGGTGCAGGGGTTAGCCAGACACACCCAGGTCCCTCTGCCACACCTCACCCACCCTCCCAGAACCGTGGAGCAAGTGGAAGGGCCCACCTACTCCAGGAAGCCCTCTCTGATCACTCCAGCTTCTGCTGGTCTTCCTCTCTGCTCCTCCCTCCCTCCCTCAATCCACCGCACATGTATGTCCTGGGCTTGCACAGGAACTGGGGTACCCCAGCATCTGCCCTTAGAGGCTCCTAGTTTTAAAGGCACATATAACTATCAAGGAGCATGGTGTGGTGGGAGCTGGGCGGACGTGGAGGCACCACAGGGAAAGACTACAAGTTCTGGGGACAAATTGGGGTTTACGGGGTACAGGAGGGCAATGGGGTTGAATGTTCTGGAACAAGACAGGAAAAGAGAATAACCCAGAGCTGGAGGGTGGGGCCTCAAGGGGCAGTGTGGCCACAGGGGTGGGGCCACGGGCACTCAAAAACCTTACCACTCCGTCCTCCTCGCGCACCACGTACTGCGCCACCTTGAAGGAGCTCAGGTATTCGTTCATGTTCTGAAGTTCCGTGTCATCCGTCGCGTCCTGGTTCCGATCCAGCAGCTTGGAGATGGCCGCATCGTCATAGTGGATCACACTGCTGTCTTCCACATCTTTGCTGTCACCTGAGGGGTGGGCAGGGTACAGTGTGTGGACACAGACAAAGCCCAGGTCCAGCCTCAGGACCAGCTGCCAACACCGGCCCTTCCACTGGGACGAAGGGGTTATGACTAGGCAAGGGAGCTGCAGCAGAACACGGGCAGATGTGATAGCCCCCTCCCCACCCACCCCCCACAGCCCACAGTGGACTGCCCCCCTCCCTCCCACACACTCCCCATAGCCCACAGTGGACAGGCAAAGTGGGAGCTGCGGGGGAGGCAAAGAAACTCCTTGCCCAGGATCAGCCAGCTGGCCAGAGGAAGAGCTGGGAGCGGACTTTGGGTGGCCCTCTACCTGGTGGGGTGCTGCCATGTTTTTTCTTTGCGCTGGCAGCCAGGGCACCCCCCTTGGAGGACTGTACATCAGGGATGGGTGTGGCAGGCCTCTGGCCCTGGGACATCATGCCTGGAGGGCAGAAGAGGAAGGACAGTGGTGCTGGGGAGCAGAAGCTGCAGGGCTGGGCAGCAGACAGAGATGCTGCCCTAGCCCAGTCTGGAAAGAGTCACAGGCTGGAGAAGAGGAAGGGCGTGCACAGGAAGGGGCCCTGGAGGTCTCAGCAGGGCCACCTCAAACCCGTGCCACGCTCCCAGGAAAGGCCACCTCAGTGCTCCTGTGGAAGGGCAACCTACCTTCGACGTCATCCTTGAAGAGTTCCTCGGTGCCGAACTTAAGGATGTCATCCAACTCCTGCTTGGTCATGGAGCCCGACTTAGAGCCCAGGCCAGGCCGCACCACCAGGTGGGTCAGCATCATCTTGCGTTTGGCCACTTGAGTGATGCGCTCCTCCACGGAGGCCCGTGTCACGAAGCGGTAGATCATCACCTTCTTGTTCTGCCCAATGCGGTGGGCACGGCTGAAGGCCTGGGGGAGATGGCGGCTCAGTACCCGGGGCTTGGCTCAGGGCTCTGTGCCACAGCTGGGTGCACCGGGGAGGGGTGTACATGTGAGCCCACGATCGTGCAAGAGGCTGCCTGGCCACATGGAAAAGTGCACATGTAGCCAGCAGTGTAGCTGTGCCCATTTCCTTGGGTGGCCAGCATCACTGTGGCCTGATGGTCAGCCTGTTTTGAAGTGAAAATATGTCTTGACAGATAGAAGGAAGTGTGCCCACAGGCATACAAGAGTATGGCCAATGTCCTGCACACTCAATGCAAGTGAAGTCACATGGGACACCAATGATGGATTCACAGGAAGGTGGGCTTGACCTCACTGTGAGCGATAACGGAGCAGCAAAACCAGGCACCGGAAACACACAGCCAGCCCTGAAGACAGCAGAGAGAATGCCCCAACTGAGCACTGCCCTGGAGAACGTGCCTGAGACTGCACTGCATCCCTATGTGATGTGGCCCTGGTGTGACAGTGCATATCACTGTGATGTGTGCCCCAAGAGTGTGTTGTTAATGTGTGTGTGTGTGCGTGCGTGCGTGTGTGCCCTGCCCCAGAGTGAGGTGAACCGAGTGACACTGGGTAGCTCTACTCCCACAGTCCCCTGCCAGCTCCATCCTCCCTTGCCATCCCCTCCTCCTTCTCTTCCTCTCTCCCACCTCCAGCAGGACCCCACTCTATGCTCCTCATCCCCACCAAAACTGGCACCCCTGTGGGTGCTGTGACTCCCTCATCCCACCTCCTTCCTTGACCATGGTCCTGAAGGGGATGGGACTGACCAGCTCATTTGCCTTCTCTGAGCCAATCTGTTCCTCTGAGGGGAAGGAGGAGCTGGAGGGACAGGACAAAGCCTCCCCTCTCCTCCCAGGCCCCTTCGAGGGCCTGAGGCTCCACAGCAGAGCCACAGAACCAGGGGGTTGGTGCAGGGGATAACAGAGAGAAAGGGTGGAGTTCTGAGGCCACCAGTCGGAGCTGGGGTGCAGACCTGGATGTCATTGTGAGGGTTCCAGTCCGAGTCATAGATGATAACGGTGTCTGCTGTGGCCAGGTTGATGCCCAGCCCACCAGCGCGTGTTGAGAGCAGGAAGCAGAACTGCTGAGCCCCAGGAGCTGAGTAGGCAGAAGTGAGGGGTTAGTGGGCACACCTGGACGGGGGACAAGGGTGGGGCACACCTGGACGGGGGACAAGCGGACAGCAGAAAGCAAGGCAGGAGGGGAGGTCACAGGTGAGAACCTTAGCTACAGGTTCCTGGCAGGTCGTGACCCAAGATGGACGGCCACGCCATGCCTGCTCTCAGAGGCTAGAGGATCCCTGCTGGACAGGTTGTAGCCTTGCTGGTGCTGAGCCCTGGCTCAGTGGAAGGGAGTCAAAATGAGGAAACTGTCAAAACCCAGATGGGCTTAGGTAGCATCAACAGCGGAGGTCCAGGGAGTCAGCCAGACCCTCACACCAACCTTATTTGATGACAAGTAACATTTCCCTTCCCAGCCTGCCTTCTTGTCCATTTCTAACTCTGCTCAGAGAGGGTGTTAACTGCTGAGCCTCCTAGAACCCCAACAGAGAGTAAGGTTTAAAGTCCCAGAGGGTGAGTTTAAAGCTAAGAGAATGAGCCAGGCACGGTGGCACATGCCTTTAGCAGGCAGATCTCTGTGAGTTCAAGGCCAGCCTGGTCTACATAGTGAGTTCCAGGCCAGCTGGGGTTACAGGGAGACCCTGTCTCAAAAAGGAAAAAAAAAAAAAACTAAGACAATGGCCAGGCATGGTGGCACACATGTAATCCCAGCCCTAGGAGACTGAGGCAGGAGGATCATGAATTAGGGGCCAACCTTGGCTATATAGTAAGACCTTGTCTCAAGAAAATAACTGGTGCGGCTTAAGTTTACAAAGCAGCTTAAGAAGCATTGGCAGTTGGGTAGTCTGGCTAAGCTCCCTGGAGACACAGGGTCCCCTCCAGAACCTGGAGGGGTGGGTACCATTGAATCTGTCGATGGCCTCTTGACGGAGGCCCCCAGTGATGCCCCCGTCGATCCGCTCATACTTGTAACCCTCGTATTCTAGGAAGTCCTCCAAGAGGTCCAACATTTTCGTCATCTGCAAGAGAGAAAATTCACGAGGGGCTGTCATAGAGGCAGGAGCCAACCGGGCAGTCAGTCCGTCCTCCACAACAATCCCCAGACACAAGCCTCCCATACTCAGTCACAGCTGCATAAATGGAGCTCCAGCCCCTCTGCCTGCGTTCAAGGCTCTGCAGGTCTAGTGCTTCGTCCCCCACCCTAACCACTCGACTCCTCGCAGAGCCCACCCCTTACTGCCTGGAGAGCTCAGCCCTCACCTCCTTATGATTTATTCCCAATGTTACTTCTCACAAGAACGTAGCCCTCTATTCCCCTCCTGTCCTTCACATAGTTTAACTGGGTACGGAACTGTCGGGAGACCCTTCTTCTAAGTACAGGGATTCTGTCATTACCCTCTGCCATTTGTCACCACAGTAAGTCTGAGGATAGTCTGATTCTCTCCTCCAAAGGTTTTAGGTCTGAAGTGCTGCGCGTCATCGCCTGGTGCCTAGGGGTTGGCCTACTGATTTGGACTTTGTTGGTCCTTCCACGGTGCCCTTCGGGTCTGAGAACTCTTGTCTTTCTCCAAGTCTACAAACGCATCAAATCCTGCCTTTCACAAGCTCCCGATGTTTCCTCTGCAGCTGCTGTCGGTCCCTCCTGAGACACCCACCACACTCCTTCACGTGTCTCTCTCTCTGTGCTGCATCCTGGGAAGTTCCTCAACCTCAGGGTCCAATTCCTCAGTACTCTTTTCTTTTTAAAAAGTTTTTTTTTTTTTCATTTCTGTTTTTAGTGTATGAATGTTTTGCCTGCATGTATGTAAATGCACACATGTGCTTGCAAAGCCTGTAAAGGCCAGAAGAGGGTGTCTGATCCCCTGGAACTGGAATTACTGACAGATGTTAACAACCATGTGGGTGCTGGGAACTGAACCCAAGATCTCTGCAAGAGCAGCCAGAGCTCCTAACCACTGAGCCGTCTCTCCAGTCCTCATCAGTGTTCTTTCCAACCTAGTCTGTGAAAATGTTTTTTCAATGGCTAAACTCCTCTGCGTTTTAAAAAAAGAATTATTTTGTTACTTATGTGTATGTGTGTGTCTATATGCAAGTGTATGCACATGGATAAAGGTGCCCAGGAAGGCCTGGAGAGGGTGTAGAGGGTGTCACATCCCCTGGAACTACTGTTAGAGGTAGTTATTAGTTTCCTGACATGGGTGCTGGGAACCAAACTCCAATCCTCTCACAAGTAACACATACTTTTGACCGCTGAGCCATCTCTCCAGGCCCCCCACCCCGTATTCTTATTGTTAGTTTTTATTCTGTCCCTTTCTGTTGTGTCTAATTAATATATGGGTGATAATTGATCCATTACTGGGCGGGGTTGTCTAGCTGTAGCTCCAGATGGCCTGGAACTTGCCATGTAGACCAGGCTGGCCTCCATCTCACAGATTCACCTGCTCTGCCTGCCAAGTGCTGGTATTAAAGGTGTGGGCCACCATGCCTGGCTCCATTACTTTTGAAAACCCAAAACGTGCTTCTGGTCTTTTTCAGGTCAGTCTATGGTCTCCTGGTCTGGGTTCTCTGGGTTTGTAAGCTCAATTTGAATGGGTGGGCTGGGTCCCTGTTGCCTCCCTTGGTGCTTTTCTACTGTGGTGCAGTTTTCTTGAGCTCCCACAGCCTCTACCCAATCCCATGTTTTGTGCTATAAGTGATGTCATTGTAGAATGTGGATCCAACCCCCCAGCTACCTAGCCGCAGCTATGATCACAGGCCTGGTCTGCCTCCCCAGGACTTCTGCAGCCACTGTCTGCTCAGGTTGCCGCCAGAGGCTACAGGCACCAGAAACTCCGTGCACCAAACATTTGTGCACAGAGGAGCAGAATCCCAGACTCACATTGAGCAGTGACCTGGCTCGGTCTGAACCCCAACCCCCCAAGCAAGTACTTCTAGCCCTAGGATCCTTCCGTGCCCGTCACTCTAGCCTTCAACACAGAGCCGACCACCAAGTCAGGCAACTGTATCCTGAGCTGTCTTCTCCCCCACACTGGGTAATTTGAGGGAAGGACCTCTGCCACTCCTCTCTGCACCCAAGGACTTAACACCAAACCAGACGTGACAAGCAAAGGGCAAGGGAAGGGGCAGACAACTGGAGGAGGGCGCACAGAGAGCAATGCCAAGTGGACCGTGAGGATCAAGCACATAGACGGGCTCCTGGAGCTGCCCCTCCTCCCGGCTCAACTTCAGGACCCTTCCTAACAAGCAGCAGGGTAAGAAGAGGCTGCACAGAAGAGGGGGCCATCACACCAGCCTGGACACACAAGCTAGAGGGGCAGATGTGGGGAGACGAGGTGGGGGAAGATGCTGGTCTCTATAGCAACCAGGCCCCGTCTCCGGGAACTTGGTACTCCACTGTCGTACCACAGTTCATGGGAATGGACAACAAACCCATGTGGCTACGGCCTGGAGCTTTCAGCGCAGGGGCAGGACAAGTTGGCTCCTCTGCAGGTATGAGCTGACTCCCAGGTGCCCACCTGGGAGAAGATCAGCACACGGTGCCCTTCATCCCGCAGCTTCTTCAGCATCTTCTGCAGCAGCATAAGCTTCCCCGAAGATTTGACCAGGGAGCTGCCATCGTAGGAGCCATTAGGCAGGACGGGGGCCTCCTGTGAGAACGGAGGAGGGCTTTGGTGGGCTCCCCTTCTGCTTTGGCACCAAAGAGACTGTAAGGATGGACAAGGGCCTCGCCACCTGCCTACCTGCCCTGCTGAACACAAAACTCAAATGGAGGCAGACTCAATAGCGTGTGCCACACAGAGCCTGGCTCCAGGCACGTGCTCCTAAGCAGCAAAGACCCACCAGCACTGCCACGGCCTCGTTCCTTGGCTAACACCAAAATGATGCTCAGAGGCCTTCCAAAGGAAACTGGCCTGGTCACTGTGGTCACTGAAAGGTGCGTCCACCAGGACCAGCCTAGCTCAACCAAAAGGTAGATCCCAGGGAGTTCCTGAGCCACACAGTCCCTAGAAGGACCCAAAGTTGCCCAAGGTGAGGTCACCCCAGCATAGTCACCTCGCCCAGCTCTGCAATGAGGGGATATGTGATGACAGAGGATGTGAGTTAGAACCCAAAGGGCAGTGATGGGGTGCTAGTGACAGCTGATGCCCACCGAGAACCCAGACCTCCAGCTCTCTGTGAACTTTCTCCTCTGAACCTCTCCACAGCATTTCCAGAAAAAGGTCACTACTGCCTCACTTGACAAAGGTAAGTGTGAGGCCCAGTGAAGATTCCAGCACAGGACTAGGTGGATCCTGGGGTCCAGCACCTCCCTCGCTGCTACAGCTCAGACTCGCTCTAGGATAGACTTCCTTAGGGATGAAGTGCAGCTGGGCCGGCCCTCAGACCTCCTTGGAGGCCCAGCGCTGAGGCTGGAGAGTCTTTGAGGTCACAGGGAAGAGGTTGGGAAAAGACCTGGCTAAGCAGGGGACACAGGCAACTTCCCGAAATTCCTCCCAGCACGGCAGGGACAGGAGGGAGAGGTACATCACCTCCAGGTCATCCTCAGAGAGGAACAGAGGACCGTGGGCCAAAGCACTTCACCATGGGCACCTTCCACAGGCGCCACTGGGAACCCACCAAAGTAGCCAGGTGCTACTACACAGAGAGCAGACCACGGCCACCATAAGGATCCTACTAAGGCAGCCACTGGGAGCTGCCAGGATGGTCATATGGAAACTGTAACAGGAGCCAGAGGGAACAGCAGCCACAGGGACCTGCCAGGATGGCCACCAGGCACCCACCACAGCAGCCACAGGGACCTGCCAGGATGGCCGCAGGGCACCAACCACAGCGGCCACGGGGACCTGCCAGGATGGCCACAGAGCACCCACCACAGCAGCCACGGGGACCTGCCAGGATGGCCACAGAGCACCCACCACAGCGACCACGGGGACCTGCCAGGATGGCCACAGAGCACCCACCACAGCGACCACGGGGACCTGCCAGGATGGCCACAGAGCACCCACCACAGCGACCACGGGGACCTGCCAGGATGGCCACAGGGCACCCACCACAGCGGCCACGGGGACCTGCCAGGATGGCCGCCGGGCACTCACCACAGCAGCCACGGGGAAGAGGTAGGGGTGGTTGCAGCATTTCTTCAGGTCCATCATGATGTTGAGCAGCGACACCTGGTTTCCGCCCCCCTTGGAGTTGAGCGCCTCAAAGTTCCGTGTGAGGATGAACTTGTAGTACTTCCTACAGTAAGGCATGGGGTAAGGTCAGCTGGAGGCTCCAGGTCTGACAAGACTCCTCAGAGGTAGGCTCTGTCTTCAGGGAGGCCAGTTGTCACAGCCAGGCACCACGTGCAGAATGGCCCCGGCAGCTTCCCACAGGGAGGAAGCCACCAGCAATTTAACGAGAGACATTGGCAGAACTCACACACACACACACACACACACACACACACACACACACACACACGCACAGCCTGACTCTGACAGGGAAGGAGATGTAGATGTGAGCAAGGCTCTGTCCTGCCCACCCCAGGAAGTGGTCGGGACAGACTGGTGAGGACTGCTGGAGAGGGTGGCTCAGGAGACATGCCCAGGAGATGGGCTGGCTGCTGTTGGACAGCTGAGTCCCACCACTCACTTCTGCATCTGGCTCAGCTCCACGCGGACAATGAGCTCCGTCTTAGCCGGCATGTTCTTGAACACGTCAGCCTTGAGTCTCCGGAGCATGTGTGGCCCCAGCAAATCATGCAGCTTCTTGATCTGGTCTTCCTTGGAGATGTCGGCAAACTCCTCCAGGAAGCCCTCCAGATTGCTGCAATAAAGAGCTGGGATAAGCAGCAGAAGTAGAGGACCAGGGCAGGCCGCAGTCCTCTACGGAGGAAGCCAGAACTAAAGTAGAGGAGGTGGAAGACGGAGGACCAACCAGCACGGACTAGCGGTTGGTGAGTCAGAGAGCCTTGGCATTGCCCCGAGTTTCCATCTAAGCCTGTGTTGCTACACATCATGCAGGATTCCTGTCGACCATCATACCACCCAGAACACGGGTTCCCAGGGACAATGACCCAGATCACAGACAAGGAGACAAGACTGAGGCTGATGGGACCCGGTGTTACTCCACCCAGCATGCTACAACCTGCCCTGGAATCATCATCCCCACCCACCCCGATTCTGAGGTGAACTGAGGTAGGTGGAGATGAAAAGGTCAAGGACACAGGGCTCCATCTCCATCCCCCCCAGCTCTGGCCCGTTTACCATCACTCGTGGGTCACTTGGGTACCAATGGGAAAAGGAACGAGCCAGGGATGGGGCAGGGAGGCAGACAACCCAGGAAGTGTCCCAGGGCCTTCTGGGATCGTCTCAGTGCAGGCAAAAGCTGTACCCCTCCCCCACAGGGGACACGGCCCACATTCCCATTTTACTGGTGAAGAAACTAAGGTCCACAAGCATCTATCTCAGAGCAGAAGATGCTGCCACATCTTCATAGGGCTCCAGCCCATCACCGCTCCTGCCAGGCCAGAGGACTCACTTGAACCTCTCTGGAGTCAGGAAGTTGAGGAGATGGAAGAGCTCCTCCAGGTTGTTCTGCAGGGGGGTCCCTGTCAGCAGCAGCTTATAGTCGATCTTGTAGCTGTTCAGGACCCTAAAGAACTTTAGAGAGGAGAGGTGGGATGTCAGGAAGTACAGAGCAGCTCCCACCCAGGGCGAGCCAACTCCACGACCAGCACTGCCTACCTTGGACTGGTTGTTCTTGAGCCGGTGGGCCTCGTCCACCACGAGGCAGGCCCACTCGATGGAGCCCAGGATAGCCTGGTCAATGGTGATGAGCTCGTAGGAGGTGAGCAGGACATGGAATTTGATCTGCACTTCTTTCTGGGGGGGAGGGACCAACATGTCGGGGGAGGCAGCATGGTAGAGCAGGATCAAAAGTGTAGGGAACACCCAGCACTCGGGAGGCAGAGGCAGGTGGATCTCTGAGTACGAGGCCATCACTGGTCTACACAGTGAGTTCCAGGCCATCTGGGGCTACAAGCTCAGGATTCAGGGTCTCTCATTTCTGCCATTCTGTGGACTCCAGTCTAGCTGGCCTGCAAGTTTCCAAGTTCTCCTGACTCTGCCTCCCATCTCGCCCTAGGAGTGTTGGGTTTACGTGGGTTTACGTGGGTTCCAGGGATGGAGCTCAGGTTGTCAGGGTTTACACGGGTTTATGTGGGTTCCAGGGATGGAGCTCAGGTTGTCAGGGTTTACATGGGTTTACATGGGTTCCAGGGATGGAGCTCAGGTTGTCAGGGTTTACACGGGTTTATGTGGGTTCCAGGGATGGAGCTCAAGCTGTCAGGCTTGCACAGCAAGCACTTTTACCTGCTGAGCCGTCTCACTCGACCTAGTGTGGATATTTTATAAGTGCAACTTGCCATCTCCCTGCCCCTAGGAGCCCCCGGGTCACAGACTGCCCTATGATAAGATCCCCTGGGGATCTAAGGCGCAGTAAGAACCAGAGGCCCTGCCCAGTGTTTACTGACTTACGGTCCTCTCTATAGCTCTGCAAACTGGGTCTGTTGGCTCCAGTCCACTGAGCATACTGACACACAGCTGGTGTACTGGGGTAAATACTGCCCTCCCCCACCCCCATCTCTTCCTGTCTACCTGGACATTTTTTTGGAAACAGGATCATGGGGAAAGCGGTTCTTGGATTAAACCTGGGTTGATGATGTCATTACATCAGCAATGGGAAATGTCACAGAATCATCACACTATTGGCCTGCTCCAGGCTGGGTACGACAGGTCCACGTGCTGCCCAGGAATGGAGATGCACTCACTTTCATACGGAACACCTTCTTCCCACTCCGAATGGCATTGTCCTCGAAGGAGAACTCATTCTCACGGATCACAGAGCGGCTCTCCTTGTCCCCCGTATAGGTGACAACATAAAAGTCAGGTGCCCACATCTCAAACTCGCGCTCCCAGTTGATGATGGTGGACAGGGGTGCGCTGACCAGGTAGGGCCCCTTGGAGTGGCCCTGTAGAGAGAACCTGAGGCGGTGAGGCTGGCTGCCCAGGGTAGGCACCGACCCCTCACCTGCCCAGCACCCTCCTGCCCGCCTGCCTGCCCACCTCCTTATACAGGGAGTAAAGGAACACAATGGTCTGCACTGTCTTGCCCAGACCCATCTCATCAGCCAGGATGGTATCAGTGCCTTGGGCCCAGGAGAAGCGGAGCCAGTTGAGGCCCTCCAGCTGGTACGGATGCAGCGTGCCACCTGTGGAGTCGATGTACCACGGCTGCTTGTCGAACTTGACTGTGGGCTGTGGGAGAGGGTAGCACAGGTTAGACTCACCATGGATCCTGGACCACCAGACTCAGCCCTTCAGGCCTTTGCAGACCCTGTTCTTTCCCTCTTAGAACTGCCCTTCCTCTATGGTTCCTTCACATTTCTTCAAGTCCCCCCTAGAATGCCTCTCCTTCCAAGACACCCTGACCCCCAGCCTCACATTCGTGCTCCCACAATGTCCACACCTGGTGGGCCTGTACTTCTATCAGGAATATTCTCCCAAGAGTCGGATTCTCTGCCCTGAGTTCAGGTTGTCATGACTTCATTGGTTGGTCCTGTTCCCTGCTTCCTCCAGACCCTGGGCAGGGCCAGGACTAAGGACACTGACTCAATATTGTACATGAACGATGTGTCTAGAAACACTCTCAGCTCTCAACACCTGCCTGAAGAGCTGGCCCCACTTACCCCAGTACATACCCTGGACCCCTTTTGTCCTGCACTCCAGGCCATCTTCCCAAATAGGTCCTCCCAGTGGTCTGCACCTATGAACCTCTGCCTACCAACTGACTCCCTGCACTCTGTGTCCCCACCATGGGCCTTGGTCTTTTTGTTTTTTGAGATGGGGACTCATGTAGTTATCTGGCCTCAAACTCACTATATGGCTAAGGATGATCCTAAACTTCTGCTCCTCCTGCCTCTACCTCTTAAGTGCTGAGATTAAAGGCCTCCACCACCACACTCAGTTTATCTGGTGTTGGGGATTGAACCCAGGGCCTTGTACATGCTAGGCAAGAAGCCTACAAAATAAGCTACATTCCCAGTCCAAGGCAGGCATCTTAAAACAAGCTCAAGGTAGCAGAGCAGTGAGGGGTTGTTCTCACTGGTCTCTGGGGAACCAGTGTTCATTTTCTAAGCGAATCACCCCAGGTGTTCACGTAGATAAGACTGGTGTGTAATCAGCAGGAGAGCTTTGTGCTGTGGGTGGGCTCTTCCCACTGGCCCATTTAGTGTGGCTGAGTATGTCTGGTCACAAGGGCCCTGGGGAAGAGGCCTTGGGACTGGACCGTCCTCCGCTGGCACTGGGGTGGGAAACCTGGTGACCCACTGGCTCCTTCTGTGCTCACATCCACAATGGGTGTATCCGGTGGCTTTTCCTGTTTATCATCCTTCAGCTTCTTGCCCTTCTTGACCAGCCTCTTGGGCAGCCTGGCATCCTCTCCCAACATCAGCTCTCTGGGGAGGGGCATCAGATGCAAGTAAGCAAAGCTCGAGCCAGGAGGGGGCCTTGAGATCGGCACCCAGCGGCCAGCCCCACCAGCCCACCTGTGGCCCCAGTAGGCCTGCTTCAGGTTGTCGTAGTAGGGGATATCAATGTCGTCAACCTCCCAAGTGCACTGGTCATAGGGCAGATCCTTCCATTTCATCAGGTAGTGCATCTCCCCCTTCTTGTCAAAGCTACAACACACAGAACAGAGGATGGGGGAGGTCAGGTCGCAGGCACAGTGGCCACAGTGTCAGTCCCATGAGATGCAGACTCGCTTGTGACCACAGCCTCCTAGGATGGCTGGGCCAGAGGAGGACACCGGGGGAAGGGCTCCAGAGAGGTGTAGCGGCTTGCCCAATGCCACACAGCTTGTGAGAGGGGCTGAAGTTGCATAGGAAGTGGCAGAGTCCCACAGAGAGGGACACTGAAAGGCCAAACTAACAGAGGAGGTAGGAAAGAACATCCAGGGTCATTCCCAGCCTCGGCTGCAGGGGTGAGTCCTACCCTGCCATGGTGTCTGGACACAAGAATAAATGCTGTAAATCTCTCCCTTGTCCATAAACTTCATTTTCTTTTCTTTTTTTTCGGTCTTTTTGAGACAGGGCCTCCCTGTAGCCCCAGCTGTCCTGGAACTCACTATGTAGATCAGGCTGGCCTAGAACTCACAGAGATCCACCTGCCTCTGTCTCCCAAGTGCTGGGATTAAAGGCACGTGCCACCACGCCCAGCCCATAAACTTCATTTTCTAACCTAAAAATGTCAAAGCCCTTTAGCAGTATCCATCCAGGGTGAGGATCCTGCCCTTACCACGCAGGCAACAAATGCGAACTGGAACAGCCTCTTCCAAGGATGCCCAGGGACCAAGCCTAGCAGTGGCCACTGGAAGGGTCCTCAAGGTCTCCCGCTCAGTCTAAGTGAACTGAGCAGCCAGGTCAGGGGAGCCCGGCAAGGCCAGGGAACCATGGCACCCCTAAATCCCAGTGTGCAGGCAAACAGATGGGGGAGCTATGGCTACAGCTGGCCTGGGGACCACAATGAGCAAATCCAGTCACCACAAAAACCAGAGGCTTTTTTTCAACAAATAATCAATTGTTATGCAGACTCAGAGATTCACCTGCTCCACTCTGGGGTACCAGAGGAAATTACTCTTTATGAATAGAGAAAAAAGGTGGCGGCCAATCCAAGGCACAGCTCAGGAACCTTCTGGGGTCTGGAAATGGGCTGGGTACTTCACAATCAGTCCGTGAAGGCCACCCCAGCAAGGCCTTGGCAAATCCCGTCAGCCTCACAACAGTTCATTTTACACAAGGAAAACAGGCCCAGAGGCCCATGGCCACAGAGGTGGTTAATCTCTGCACCCAACAACCGCCTGAGAGGTCCTGCAGTCAGGGACACAGAGGGTGAAGGTCACCCATCCTATGCCCTAGAAGGCGGAGCTGTGAACAGGTGGGAAGCTCAGGGTTCTGAGGGGCTACCATGTAACAGGTACTCAGGGTCCTTCCCCAAGGCCCTCCTGGCAGTCACCACCTATCTCCCAGCACCTGAGCCCCAAAATCAGCAGGAACTCCCACCACCCACCACATGGAAGCCAGCTCCTCAAGCCTACACCCTCTTCCGGGCCTCCTTGCTTTGGCTTCTCTGATCACGAAGCCACTTGGGAATGTCCAGGCTTCAATGAAGACGGAGCCTGGGAGTTAAGAACTCTGGCTAAGAAATCTCCACTACTGCCAAAGGACTCTCGGTTCAATTCCAGTCCGGCCAGTTCAGCCGTGTGATTTCAGGCAGGTAACCCAACCCTGCCAAGTGTATCCTTTTTTTTTTATTTTTTTTTAATATTTTACTATTTTTATTTTATGTGTGTGAGTGTATTGCCTGCATGTATGTAAGTGCACCCATGTCATCCAATGCTCATAGAGGTAAGAAGAGGGCATGAGATTCCCCTGGAACTGGAGTTTAGGACAGTTCATAGATGCCATGTGGGTGCTGGGAATCAGACCGCAGTCCTCTGCAAGAGCAGTCAGTGCTCTTAACCACTGAGCCATCTCTCCAGCTCCTATTTATTTTATTTTTACATGTGTGAGTGTTTTGCCTGTATGTATGTAAGTGCACTCCTGTTATGCAATGCCCGCAGAGGTCAGAAGGAGGAGTCAGATTCCCCTGGAACTGGAGTCACAGGTAGTTGTTAGCAGCCATGTGGGTACTGGGAATCGAACCCCGGACCTCCTCAGGAGCAGCCAGTGCTCTTAACCACTGAGCTGTCTCTCCAACCCTCTCCACCAAGTGTATTCTTGAATGTGCCTCTTGGGATAGTTAACACTTACTGACCCTCATATCTTACACCCACTTTGGATCTCAGAATCATCCCACTGACCTCAAGCCCTGACTTAGAAGGCGTCTAGGACAGCAAGGGTCCCATCTCACTGAGGTCCTGCTCATGCAAGGTTCACAGCTATTCACCACGTTTCCCTATCGGTATGACTCTGGAACCACCCTACCATGATGAGAACATGTGAGTGTGAGGATGAACGACTGTTCAGCCAGCCACCATCTCGGCAATGAGGGGTCTTCACCCTGTCCCCAGCCCCACTGCACCCATACCCCAACTGACAGTGTCCTTTGTCCTGGCCCAGCCTGTTGGGGTGCCACCATCCACCCCTCACCTGTGGTTCAAGATGCGGTGGATCATCATCCACTCGGGCTTGATGCCGTAGCGGTAGAAACGCTCCTCCATCTTGGCATAGAGAGGGTCCTTGCTCTTCCTCTTCTCGCTCTTACCGTCCTCGTCGCCAGAGCCGTAGTCAAAGGGCGGTGGCTCACCCATGTCATTCTTTCTCTGGTAGTTTCGGTACATCACAGTGTGATACAGCTCCAGCTGTTCACCGAAAACACAGACATTAAGGGAGAGAGATGGGCTACACCCCTCATTCCCCAACCCCGCTCTCCAGCCCTGTTCCAGGAGGGGCCAGCCTCCTCCAAAGCTGATTCCCCAACTCTCACCCATGCCCTTCCTTCCCTGGGAGGCTGGACAGCACACATCAACCCATTCTCAACTACCCAGGAGGGCCCAGGCTCACATCAGGCCAAGCCCAACACAGTCATCCTGCCCCGGGCGCCTCACCTGCAGCTCCTTCACCCAGGAGCAGTGCCAGTAGGAGAGCCCAGCCCACTTGACAAAGAACTCTCTCTCAGGAATGCCCTCCAGAGCCTTGGGTGGGGGCATGCCTGGCTCCACCTCTGGTCCTGACAGCCCCACCATGAAGGAGGCCGGGGGTTCAGTCCACCTCCAGTGTAGGATCCTCTGGACTTTGCCCTTCAGTGGGGGACACTGTGGACAGAGAACAGTCCCCAAGTTCAGGGGTAAGTCACAAGGCCCTACCCTGGCGTTCCCATGACAGTAGACTGTCACACAGGCTCCCAAGCCACAACAGTGCCACGGGGACTCTAGCATCTCCTCCATCCTCAGATACCCACGCACGCTGTGCATGCAGGAGATGGGAAATGGGGCTTGTGAGTCCAGTGGGCCCTCTGTACTTGACAGTAAGCTTCCTCGGCACCTGGCATGCTGAGCCAGGGTAGGTGAGCCAAACAGGAGGAGAAAATAAGACCCATTCAACAAGGTGAAACAGAGCAGGGAGCAGAGCCCAAGACTATGGACTCCTCCATCTGTGGGTCCACCAACTGCCCATGCCCTGCTTGGAGCCCTAAGAACACATCACATCATATCCTGATCCTCGAGCACCCACAGGACAGCAATCCTGCCTGACACTTATTGCCACTTCCTTCATTCCCAGTAGGGCTGTGCATCTGAGCTGGCTTGAGACAGAGAGGCTAAGTCTTCCTCAGCACCTGCACACACTCAGGCCTTTAGGGACACTGGGATTCTAGGTTGCTGCTTGCTGGCACACCAGCACTTGTGCACTGAGTACACAGCCACGAGATGGTCTGGTATGGCCCTGACCCTCACAAGGGGCAGTTCTGAGCCCTAGCTGGACTGGAGTAGGATGACAATTTAGGGGATGGCTCTGAAGAGGAGGGCAGGTCTCAGTAAGCTCTGCTACCACCTGCCCATGTACCAAACATGTCACTTGGGCCTGTCTCCTCATCTGTAAAACGGGCCTCCCTTCCTCCACCTCACAGGACTGTTGGTGTCAATCCACATGTAAAGGCTGTGTACTGCATTGCACACACTCCAGAGCCAATAATGCTTTGGACTCTGGAAATCAAAGGGTAAAGAAGACAAAGCAGGATGGAGAGGCAGGGCAAGTCTCCATGGACTCTGGGGGTGTGGAAGGGGAGACCTCCTTCTCAGGCCACAGGCAACCCTGCCAAGCCTCCTGCAGGAAAATCCGGAAGGAGCTAGGTTCTACCCCAGAGAGGGAGGTCTCGCAGGACAGCAAAGAAGGCTGCACCTCCAAGGGGACTCCCCAGGACACACACACGAACAGGCAGACACACAGTCCAAACGCACACATAAAACAGAAGGCCCAGGCAGCCCATCCCAGAACCTGGGAGACGGGATCCAGCAATGGGGTGGGCATGGCGGGGGGTACTCCACACATGGCACCTTCAATTGCCTACAGTGACTGGGGTCAAGGGATGGAGACGCGGGGGAAGAGTGCTCCCCTTCCTTGCAAAACCTGATGCTCCAGCCTGTGGAACTTTCACTGTCCCTGCCTGGGAACACCAGGTCCATGGTGGCTGGGGCACCTGGGTCTGAACCCCCATTTTCTCACTGATGAGGATTTGGGTGGAGCTCATTGGTGAGGGCTTGCCTGGCACGTACCAGCTCCTGGGTTTCATTCCCAAGCAATCCCCAAATAATTAATTTTGAAAGTAAATTAAGAGATTGGGTTATAGAACCGGACATGGTGCCACACCCCTTTAGTCCCAGCACTTGGGAGGCAGAGGCAGGCAGATCTCTGTGAGTTCAAGGCCAGCCTGGTCTACATAGTGAGTTACATGCCATCTAAGGTTACACGGAGACCCTGTCCCAAAAAGACCAAAAAAAAGAGAGAATGAGAGAGAGAAAGAGAGAGAGAGAGAGAGAGAGAGAGAGAGAGATACTGCAAAAAAAAAATATTGAATGAAACTAGCAAAAAGCCTGACATTTCCATAGGCTGAAAGACTGCAATGCGTGCCAAGCTCTTTGGGCAGAGTAAATTCCCAATAAACAGTGGCTGTGACATCAGGTCTAAGGGGAGTCAGAAGGCGGCTGGCAGGGTGCAGGGGAGGACCCAGGATGGGCAGCATGGGCAGCGTGGGCGGGGCCTGGCTGTCTGGGGGTGGCGCGGGGCATTAACACTCACAGTACAGCGCGGGCAGAGCCATTCACCGTTTGGGATCTCAGGCAGAGGCGGGTTGAGGCAGTGCAGGTGATAGGAGGAGGGGCAGGCATCGCAGCAGAGGAGCTCCCCGCCATCCTTGCACACGCGGCAGAACTCCATGTGGTCATCCTCCTCCTCCTCACAGCCGCCCTCCTCCTCCTCGTCGTCATCGTCCTTGGGCTCCCACTGGATTCCCTCCTTCTCCTGGAGGGGAGGGGTCCAGGTGGAGGCAGCCAGGGTGGGATTCCCGCCCCCCCACCACACCCCGGGCCCCCAGGCACTGCACGATCCCCAGGCTGCCGGCCCACCCTCCCCTAGCCAGGGCTTACACAGTGTGGGCAGCTCCACTTGCCCTCCGGAGCTTTCTCCAGCTCTGGGTCCAGACAGACGAGGTGGTAGGCCCGAGGGCAGGTGTCACACAGAATGATCTCCCCGCCCTGCTGGCACACCTCACAGTAGTCCTGGTGGTCTGTCTCATAGCCATCGCCATCATCAACTGAGGTGTGGAGACAGGCAGTGATGGAGGTCAGCCATACACCACCATCTCCACTAGTCCAATACAGACTGGCACACAGTAGGTTGCTTATATAATGCCAAATGGAAGGGTGGGTGGGTGACAGGATGGGTGGTTGGACCAATGGGGTGAACAGATATTGGGGGATGGCTGTCAAGGGTAAAGGTGGGTAGAAGATAGAAAATATGAGAAGGGCTGGGTGTGGTGGTGCAAGCCTTTAATCCTGACACTTGGGAGATAGTAAGTTCGAAGCCAGCCTGGTCTACTTAGAGGGTTCCGGGTCAGCCAGGGCAACATAGTGAGACCCTGTCTCAAAACAGGGTAAGAAGGAAGGAAAGATAGAAAAAATAGACAGATAGGGCTGGAGAGATGGCTCAGTGCTTATAGAGCACTAGCTGCTCTTGCAGAGGACCGAGGTTTGATTCCCAGCACCCACATGGTGGTTAACGACCATCTGTAACTCCGCTTCCAGGAGATCTGTCATCTTCTTCTGACCTCCACGGGCATTGCACGACATGGGTGCACTTACATACATGCAGGCAATACACTCATACACATAAATTTTTTTAAAAAAAAGAAAAAGTAGACAGAGAGATCGTAGACGGACAGAAAGATAAAAAGAAGGGAGGGAGCTGTGCATGATGGCTCACACCTTTAGTCCCAGCACTCAGGAGAGAGAGGGAGGCAAGATCTCTGTGAGATCGAGGCCAGCCTGGTCTGTATAGCAAGTGCCAGGCCAGCTGGGGCTACAGGGAAACCCTGCCTCAAAAAAAAAGACCAAAAAAAAAAAAAAAAGGTGATGAAGCAAGAGAGAGGAATGGGCTTGGGAGAGGATGGGTGCATGGGGTGTGGTAGATGAGCTTACATGCCCCTCCACTCCCTACTCTGCTAGGGCAAATGTCCTGGGGTAGCCCACACCCTGGGGTTTCTTATTTCTGCCTCCCTGGGACAGAACACCCCTCTCCTGACAGTAGGCAAGGCTGGTTCTCAAGGAGCACAGGGCAGCTGCCTGGCTGAGGTCAGGGGAGGCTGAGGCATGAGCATCTCTTCCCCCATGCTCTGCACCCCATCCACAGAGAAGTCCCAACGGGAAGCCTTACTCCTCTTCCTCTTACGCCTCCTCTTCTTCTTGCCCAGAGCTGCAGAACATTCGGAGCGCACGGAAGAGCTGTGGATGCTGGCGTTGTCCAAATCTGACTCCTCCCGCTCGTCCTCCTCACTCTGCGGGGGTTTTGGGGGAGAGCTGTGAGTCAAACCTGCCCTGAGTGGGTTGGGGAAGGGGGCAGGGCCAAGGCAGGTCAGGAGACTCCCTGTGGCTCACTTTGTACCCCCAGTCCAGCTAGACACTTTCACGACTTTGCGACCCACATGTCCCACATTCCCCAAGCCCTGCTTGGGGTTTCTGCTCCATTACGGCTCCCCATGCCTGACTCCCCATGCTCTGACCTCCACCTGCCTGACTCCTACACATCCTTCAAGGGACAGCCCTGAATACCCCTCCCCTAGGGTCTCTTCCCGGTGGACATGCCCGCTGGAATACTGCACCCTAAGAACTGAGCTGGCATCCTAGATCTTTGTCTAGCTCCCTTCCAGAGCAGCCAACCCCAAAACCTGGCACTTGCCTCTGCCAGGGGACAGAGAGAATGGCTTCCACCTTTCTTTTCTAGCCTACCATAGGGCTGGAAGAGGGAATGACAGAATTCTCCCTCTCCCTCTCCCTCTCCCTCTCCCTCTTCTGTCTCAGAAAAGGATGAGACATTGAGTAGAGGAGGAATCGAGGCTCTGGTCAGCCAGGTCCTACACGCCACCTCCCTGGGCTCCACTCTCTCAGCACACCTGGGTGGCCAAGCCCACTGTCTCCCTGGATGGAGTCACACTATGGACAGTGCCACCCTTGCAGCTGAGCAAGAACGGCCAGAGAGAGCACCTTGGCCACAGTCCTAGCTAGAGAGGCCCTTTGAAGGGTCCAGTCTCTACCTCTCACCTGACAGATGGGGAAACCGAGGCCCAGCAGGCCTGCGGATAGAGTGGAGGAGGGTGCAGCTAGCTCAGGAGAATAAACTGTGGCCTCCTCAGGTCAAAGCAGCCTGCCTCACACAAACACACACAAAGCACACTCATGCATGCACGCACTCTCACCGAGGAGCCTTTCTTCCTCTTACTGATCCCTCCGAAGCGGAACTTGAACCCGGCCACTTTCTTGCCCTTGCCCTTCCTCCTGGTGTCTTTCGAGCTCTTCATCTTCTTCCTCACTCCAGGCCCTGGGACATGGTGACAAGGGCTTTGATGACCAGCACTGCACTGAACTCCAAGTACCCCCGATGAGGAATGGATCACTTGTACCATCGCCCCTTCTCAGATGAGAAGGCTGAGGGTCTGAGAGGTGACACTCTTGCTTGGGTTTCACAGGAAATAATGAGAAAAGTCATAGGTGAACCTGCTTCAAGCCTGGCTTTCCGGCCACTGTGCTGGCCTTCTGCTATGAAAGAAATACCCACTAACTTAGTAACAGTCTCTACACTATCCCCACCACTCAGCGATGACCTGCCTTCAAGGCTTCCATACTAACAGGGCCACAAGCAACACCACCCACCTATGGTCCACGCCTGAATCCCTGGAGGGTCATCCTGGGGCCAAAACCCGAGTCACCAAGCTTCCCAGACCATAGAGTGCAGGTACCACCTATGGTTAGCCCCAGTTCTTCCCGTCACCCTGGGCCTTTAGGTTGTATCTGTAGATGTTCAACTGGCCACACAGAAATTAGCCCCCTAGCGGATGATGACCCCTCGCCCTTCCATCCCGCAGCTGTCTCACTGCAAGAGGAAGACTCAGGGACCCAGTGGGGGAATTCACACTTTGCCAGGTAGCCTTGCCCAGCCCTCCTCTGGACACACCACATGCAGGACTTGGAGGTAGGGACCAAGATGGACCCAGGGCATGCCACCAAAAATCTATTTCAGTTCTTCAGGCTCTGAATAGGCAGCTCAGAGAGTCAACAGCTCGGAGCTACCTCCTAGGCTCAAGGAAGTAAAAGATTAAGGAGGCTGGGTGGGTGGGACACAGGCTAGGGGCCTCCTGAGGCTGACTGGGATGGAAGGAGAGGATGCAGGGTGTGACCCACATCACTCATCCACCAGGCACCCTCTGAGACAGGATAAAGGGGTGCCAGGCACAACATTCAGCACTGTCCAGAAACGAAAACTCTTTGGGGCTGACACAGATGGTCCCCAAACTTTTCTCAGCCTATGAGTCCCATCTTAGCGCTAAGAAGGCTGAATCGCCACTGATCCCACTGGGGGAGAGGGACGCTGCCAACCTCCCCGGAGCCCAGAACTTGCCACCAGGTTGCGACTGCTCCTCCATAAGTCAAAGGCCCTTCTTTTTCCAGCCCCATTTGCACTTAGTCAGACTGGACCTAACCTCCTACTGCCCTTCCGGTCCTGACCACATCCGCTCCTGTGGGGCCAGAAGGGCCCTGACAAGAGGTGCTCAGGTAAGAGGATCAGCCCACTAACCTGAAGCTGTCTCAAACTTCCAGATGCCCAGAGCTGGAACAGCTTCATGCTGTGGACCACCCCTCCTTCCTTCCATGCCCATGAGGAGGGGGAGGACTGGTCTGAAGTTACCTCCCAAAGCCCCACCTGCATCATCTCTTCTATGTCTCCATCCTCTCCAAAAGGAGGCAGGACAGGAGCTACAAGTGCTATATTACAGCTGCGAAAGAAGGAGTCAGCCCAAGATCCTACAAAACAATGGGTTCTCGGGGAGGAGAACCCGCAGCTTCCCCAGAGTCTGGAATGAGTCTGCCAGGCAGGGCTCGTGCTCACCCACGCCCAGACTTACCCTTGCCCTCTTTGGTCTTCGCCTTGCGGATGGGCATAGGCTGGGGCACCTGCTGGGGACTGATGGCCAGCGGAGGAGCAATAGTCACAGTCTCTACAGCGGCAGCCACGGCGGCCGCAGCTGCTGCCGCAGAGCTCCCCTTAAAGGGGTTATTGGCGCTGAATTCTCGCCATTTGGCACCCAGGACAGTCATCATTTTGGACATGGGAATCTTGGGGTTCTTTTTGGCAATGAGCGGCCTGTGGAAAGAGGGATGACAAGAGGGTGAGGGAAAGGCCACCTCTTTTCCCACACCTGAGAGGTGTGGCCAGCCCCACCGTCCTGGCTAGAGAACCTAGGCAGAAAACGGGACTGGGAAAGGACAAAACTGAAACCAGAGTGTACCCCAAAACACTCTGGGTTCCCTCTTCATGACTGGGTATGTTTCTAACTGGGCTACAGACCGGAGAGGAGCCTGCAGCAGGCCATCCCTGACGAGGAACCCAGGGAAGGACCAGTGGGGCAGGAAGGGCCAACCATCACCTAGAGCCCTGCCCAGGTCAGAGATGCCCTAATAGCCCTCCACCTACCCAGGAGCCCCAGCTGCCTCTCTTTCCGCCTCCCCTGGTACCCCTCAGGAAAGCACAACCCCCACGAACGCCCAGCCACAGTGATCAGCCCTGGCCCACCGGAGGAACTGGCTGAAGGCCTTGTAGTTGGTCAGTGTGTGGTAGTCCTCCTCTGAGAACAGGTAGTCCACATCATCCAGGCCCCACTCGGCCATGAGCTGTCCCGAGGACTTGGGCTCCTGCAGAGAGATATGGCCAGAGGTGGGATGAGAGATGGGAGTCCTTCTGATCCACACCCTTGCTGCAAGGCCTTAGAATAAGAGGAATTTGCACTCGGCACAGGGATACCCGAAAGCCCCACCCCATTCTTCCAGCAGTTGATGCTCAGGGTGCAGAGGCAAGTGTTTAATGTCAGGACTGGGGAAAGGTGATCCATGTTTCCCCAGAAAGTGGGATCAGACAGCTGGGGGAGACAGGCCAGAGCCAGGGTCAGGCCTCTCTGGGGAGAGAGCTGCCTGATTTCCTGGAGACCCACACAGAGTAAATAACAGGACTGGGAAGATGGGGAGGGGCCAGGACAGGGGCCGGAAGACAGATTTGGAGAGAAGTCCCTAGGGACAAAGCACAGCTGAGCAGCTGCTCAGGGCATGCTGGAGAGAAATGAGGCCTCCTGAACGCACGGCCTTCGAAAGAACAGGGCATTGCCAGGTTCTGGGGATAGGAAGGCACACTCAGGCAAAGGCAGGGCATGGGATGGTAGCCCAAGCAGAGCCAAAAGGGTCCCTTGGCCACTTTTCAGATGGGTACTAAGGTCAGCTAAGTGTGTGACGTCCCCAAGGGTACCCGTGAGCCCTCAATGCCCAGAGATCAGAGGGCCAGATGGCTTCCCAGCCCCTGGTGAGCTGGGATCAGATGAGGAAGAACTGGCTGTAAGCCAGTTACAGCCAGTTCTAACCATGATTCTACCATATACCAGTAATGAGAGAAACTTAGTTTACCTCCCTGGTGAGGTAAACTAAGTTTAGTTTAGTTTGCCTCACAGGTGAGGATGAGTAAGCCCACAAACGTATGAGAGCCTTATCATGAAATCCAGCCTCCTCCCTCATGCCCCACCTCTTCCAAGCAACCCCATCCACTGACCCATTAAGCCAATCAGCACACACATTCCCAGGCCACAGGCCCTGGTCAGTGTAATCTTGTAGCACAGCCAGGGGACCCATCTCCCATACTGGATGGGACTGACCACCAGCCCAAGAGAAGAGGAGAACCAAATAACAGCCCTGGGTGATGTCACTGAGTGCTATCCAGAATCCCCTTTGCCTCTCAACTCCCAGGACCCTGGCCCCACAAGCCCCTGGAAGCCAGGCTTTCTGCCCCCACAGTGGAAGCCCCTTCCAGGTGGTACACATGCTCTCCCTGGGCCCTGACTACCTATGTCCCAGAAAACCAAGTGTGCCCTGCACAGTGAGAGGACTTAGAAACCTCACTCCCTGACAGCTCAGATATGTGCCCCTGGAGGACACGCCCCTCCCATGGCAGACCTGCCCCCTCAGACACACCCAGCCATTCCTAAAGGCACCACCAGGGAGCATGGGGGCAAACAGATGAAATTGTTTCTGATAACCCTGAACAGCTTCCCTGCAGTTAATCTCTCAAAACTGTCCCTGTGGGTATTACCAGTCACAGCTGACTCACAACATACCCACCAATAAGTAATGGGATCACACTGAGTGTCAGAACACTCTCGTAAGTACTGTACCCGCTCTCCAGACTGCAATCATTCTGGCATGGGGTATTTCTCTTTACACGCAAACTGCTCCTGATGACATGGGGTCACTCACCCACACCTCACAGCTGAAGCTCAGAGCGTCCCCACAGCACAGCCCCAGAGACCTCAGGATGACCCTAATTCCAGGCTCATCTCTGCAGTCACTCCAAGTTCAGTGGGAAACTATGTGAACGCCCACACGGGCAGAGCCGGCCGCTCAGGGCTGCCTACCCAGTTGCTTATGGCAGAACGTCAATGGTTCTTCTATTTCCCCAAATTGCTCAAAGCAAGAGGCTCCAGACACCAAACTTAGACAAGTTCACATAACCTGTCTCTATTCATAAACAGCTGCACACATGGGTGGGCAAGCTGTTGCTAAGAGCAGGTAATACATTACACGGTCTCCTCCGAGACACAGCTATGGGATTCCTCACGAACTATGTCCAGCACCCAGAGGCGTGCACCCCACACACACATCAGGTTCTAGGAAAGGACACTTCCCCATTCTCTCCCCCCAGGGCTCTGGGCAGCTCCATCCTCCAGCCAGGCCCCAGCAGTTACCTTCAAACACCCATCGTCATTATCACCCTCATCCTCATCCCTCCTTTTCCGCTTGGCTTTTTTCTCCCTCTTGTCCTTCAATTTCTTCTTCTTCTTCTTGGTAGGGGAATAATCACTACCTTCGCTCTCTGACTTCTCTTCCAGATCCTCCTCATTTTCTGACAGCTCATCATTGCTCCCCTAGAAAAGAAAGAGGACGGTGAGGGTACCAGACACCCCGAGAGCCCAGGCACCTGGGTGGCAGGACCTGGCCAAGTTGCTCAGCACACACTTGGGATCAGCCAGCATCCTAAATCCATGGCCTACTGAGTTCTTGTCCCCCAGTGACTGACAGAATGTGAGGTGACCTGGAGTCAAACCAGACTTCCTCCAAGGCAGGTGAAGTGTGGTCTGCCCGGCTGCCCTCAGGGTGAGTTCTCCTGCTTCAGTTACAGTGGACTTTGGGATGGTGCAGGAACTTGCGGTAGAGGTCATGGTAACCAGAGTTAAAAAACAAGCAGGATGGGCCAGGCGTGGTGGCGCACGCCTTTAATCCCAGCACTTGTGAGGCACAGGCAGGAGGATCTCTGTGAGTTCAAGGCCAGCCTGGTCTACATAGTGAGTTCAAGGACTGCTAGGGCTACAGAGAGACCTTGTCTCAAAAAGACAAAAAAAAAAAAAAAAACAAGCAGGAAAGCCAGGCATGGTGGCACATGCCTTTAATCCCAGCACTTGGGAGGCAGAGGCAGGGGGATCTTTGTGGCCAGCCTGGTCTACATAGCGAGTTCCAGGACAGCTGGGACTACAAGGAGACCGTGTCTCAAAAGGACAAAAAGAAAAAAAAAAAAAAAAAAAAAAAAAAGCAAGCAGGAGCCAATCTATCAACTAGCATCCACCTGGTCTCCATCTCCGCAGCCCTGGGCTTCCACCTACACCTGTGGCATTGCACTGACTAACTGAAGCCTATGATTGATTAAGACAAGAGTACACATCCCAGTTTGATCTCAGGGCCGGCCCTCCAGAGGCTGCAGGGTCACAAGCCCACCTTCAGCACTGTCTGCAGGCTGGCCACTCCATCTCAGTGGTAATTTAAGGCAGTGTTTAAGATTGGCTCCCTGATTTTATTTCTTGTCTGTACAGGCAGAAAATGGCTCATTTATATGGAGATGAAGGTGTTTACAGCCACAGCATGCCTACCAGAAAGGTACTTCCCTGGAAGGGGCACTTTACTCATGACCTTTGGAGGCAGGAGGACAGGTAGAGCCCTAGCTCCTCCAGCCTGGGTCTGCAGAGAGAAGTTGTCGCTACAATTACCAGCTCAAAGCTTGTCACCCTCATGATTGCTATGAGCTGTTTTCAAGGTGAGCAAAGACAGGCATGGGAGAAGATGGGGAGAGACTGGCACGATGAAAAATGAGCTTAGGAAACAGCAGTGGGGGAGAGGAAGGCATCAGAAAGGAGGATGGGAGAGAGGGGCAGCAGGCTCTGCCTGGAGAATCACGGAGGCCCAGCAAGTTGTCCTTTCTACGCTGTAAAGCCCGAGAGCCTGCCTTTCCCAGGAGGGAGCCCTGGAGCTACCACATTCCATCAGTCAGCCGAGGGTGGGCATGTCACTGAGAGAGAGGGCTTCTCCCTGCGATCCAGCTGGGGAAGACCCGACCTACATACTCTCCTGGAAACTCAGCTCACATTCCCTTTAGGAGCCCTGGTCTCAAATCCTTTACATCTGCTAACCAATCGCCAAATCAGCAACACTGGCAAGGTCTCCTTTGCTTTTCTGGAACCTAGATATTTCCCAGAATATTGACTCCGAGCCCAAGGGGCAGCTGGAGCCAGCAGTGACATGGGGCTGTGTCATGGTTCTTGAGGAAAGGAGTCAGACAGGAACATCCACTTCCTTCAGGGTGACAGAGATCACTTCAAGAGGTCCGAGATGCTCACTCTACCTCAGCCCTCACCCCCAGAGGGAGGGAGAGAGGGAGACATATGCTTCAGCACCATGGACAGCGGGTGCGGCTTGCCGGAGGGTGGATCCTTTCCTGGCCTACTGTGGGTCCTGAGGCTTCCTAGGAAGCTGTGCCCTTTGCTAGCCTAGGATACAGACAAGTTGCAGTAGCCTGAACCACTACTCTCTCATTTCTGTGCTGGCGATTTGAACAAGGGAGCCAATGTACACAAAGGCCTTGAGCTCTTACAACAGAGACAGGCCAGTGCAGAGAAGCCAGGATCAGAGAGCCTGGGGCCACATGGGAGAGCCAGTTGTTCATCATGTGCCCTGGGCAGGGGACTTAGCCAGACCAGAGCAGTCTTCATTCAAAACTACCCCTGGTACATCGCAACCACACCCAGGCAGAGGCACGTCCTCTCAATGATAATACCCCAAAATGCTGATGACTCAAGACCACGCCAACTCAGGCAAAGACATAACCGTGGTAACACAGGAACAAACAGACCAGCCTCTTCTCCCTCCACTGGGATGGGGCTCAAGCCAGCCACACGGGGCATGGTCAGCTAGGTGACAGTGAAGTCATGGGTATACAACATGACTGCCGGGTAGCTATCTGGAGCACAGAGAGCCAACAATGCCACATCCCGGTGCAAGACAGGCCAGGAGCAGCCAGCACAGCTCAGAACGTGAGCCCGGAGGGACCGGGGGAGGGGAGAATGGCAGGCAGGAGGGCGAAGGGAAGGCACCTCTGGCAGGCTGAGCTGTCTGCCAGGGGCATGGCACTGGGCATGGGGGAGGGGAATGGCAGAAGGTTGAAAGCCTGGCCTGGCCAGAAGAGCTCACTCCAGAGCTGGGCAGGAGGACAGGAGGGCAGTAGGCAGAGCCAGGGCCTTGGCAGGGCAGGTCTGAGGCTGGGGCCCTCCTACAACCACCCACCAAGGCTTAGGCAAGATGTCAGTGTCCCACTCTCCTCAGCGGAAAGTCTGACCCTCAGCTCCTCAGACCATCTCTCTTCTCCTCTGAATCTATCCTACCTCCTGCCTAGTCCAACTAAAGTCCATCTAGCCTGGGCCACCCCCACATTCATACCTCCGCACAACACTGAGGGGTAGAACAAGTCTGTATATGCAGTGGAACTCACCCAGCTTTTACCACTACTGGGCCTCCTTCTACACACACACACACACACACACACACACACACACACAATCATAAAAACATCTTGTCTCACAGAGAAGATGGTGAAGGGGAAACGTGGCAACAAGATCTGAAAAGAGCTCGCAGAGGAGCCGTCATCAGGACCTGGAAGCACTGACACTGGGTGGGCAGAAGGGATGAAGGGACCAAGAGCCAGAGGGAGACTGACCACTCAGGACCTTGCAACTTAGTGGGGGTTGGGGGGAATGGAAGGCCACACCCCATTCAGGAGGGAGACGCAGACACAGACCAATAACTCCCTAATACAGCTCATGACATGACCTCAGCCCTGGGGGTCTAAAGGGCAACCACAAGCTGTGAAAATCAGGATGACAGTTGGGCCTTTGACCTTGGCATCGGCCTTTACTGAAGCAGCCCTGTGCGTGACTGTGGGCAATGCTCCAGTGGTTGCAAAAGGAACATTAGAGGACACGTACAAAGCACCCCACATACCACACCCAGGTTGGGGGATAGGAAGGGCCTCTGCTTGGAGCCCTGCTAAGGGCACAACCTGCGACATGGCTGGTGGGGGGCCCCAAGCAGGCAGTCCACACCACCCTCCTTCCCTGCTCTGCAGATGTTTCTGGATCCAGGCCTCCTGTAGTGCTGTTCCCTCCCCTCTATGCCCAACACACACATCCCATCCCCCCCCAACCCCCACCAAAAAAAAGGGCATTTAGATTGAAAAGAAGGACTCAGAGAGTTGGTCATTCTCGACTTGGGGTCCTTCAAGATGGAGAGGGAAAAAAAGAAAGAATGAAATATGAGCCTTTCCATTCACCAGTGTTATAAACAGTTATAATTTAGCACTGAATAATTGGTTGCTATGGCAACCGCTGCAGTACAGGTTGAAATCATTTCTCCCTCCTGCGCTCGGGTCTGACAAGGAGCTTCATCTACATATGCTCAGGTTCCGGCTGCAGCCCGGTTATTTTATGTAAATCAGAATCCATGACTTGCTACCTGCATCCCACCCCCAAACCAAGGTTTAAAGACCACCTGCTCTGGCCCCCTCCGTGCCTCACATTGGAGTCACCTGGTGGGAGACAGAAAGGAAAGGGGTGAGATTCCCCCACCTGTGATCTGGGTGGGTAAGCAGAGAGGATCCTCCTCTCTGTAAATAGCATGCTATAGACCCTCCCCCCAAGATCCAGCAGCTGGTCAGATCCAAGCTCTCAGGGATTGAGGCAGGGTAGGGGGTAAAGGATCACCTCTGGGGCCCATCATCTGGGAACCTTGCCTACCCCAATCCTCCACCCTGAGAAGCAGCACTGCATCTCAGTAGAGAGGAAGGGAAGCAAAGGAGGGAACAGGAGAGGGGGAGGAAGTGAGAGAGGAGGGAAGAGGGAATGGAGGTAGATTGAGAAGACAGAGTGACCAAATGCAGGCCAGAGGGAGACAGACAGCGCAGAGAAAAAAAACAAACATGCCTTAGAAAAGGAGGACAAGAGACCAAGCCGGCTGGTAAGAAGATACCTATGATTGTGGTCCTAGGAAGACAGAGAAAAAAATAGCCCTCCCTGGCCCTGAAGGCCACCAGAACCCCAGCCCTCCAGCTTCAGCCCCTCTCCAGACACTCCCCACCCACAGCCCCTTTCCTGGCCAGAGCCCTGTGACAACCTTGTGTCCAGGAAGGAGGGAGAAAAAAACTCATCCTGATCAGAGTGGGAGCTCCCCCATGCACCTGCCATTACTCCTACTGGGGCCTGAATCTGAGGACTGGATGGTCTTCAGCCCGAGGCCTGAGACCATGAGTGCCAAGTCGAGGAGGTTCCTGTCCTCTGCCACTGGCCCAGGACCCAAGGGCCCCAGAGCCCCAGAGCCAGGGGCTGAAAGCAGCAGTAACAACAGAATGAGACTTTATAGCCTCAACCAGAAAGTCTGGACACCTGCATCCTAGGACCTCACAGTCCAGAACCATCTAGCCACTGTCCAGTCATGGACAGATCTGCAGGGCCAAGAGCCATTATCAGCAGAGGCAGGGGCTGCAGCGAGACATTCTAGAGCCCCATGTCAAAGGAGCTGGTTCCCAGGAGCTCCTTCAATGGGGAGTCTCGAGGCACAGGACTCCTTCCCTACATCCTGCCTCCACTTCTCTGGAAAATGCGCACAAAGAGCTCCCTTTGCCGCCCCTTGGAAGAAGCCTTAGAGCCCATGACTGGAGCCCTCTGCAACCTGCTTCCCTTCGACCTGAGGCCTTCCTTCACCCCAAAGACTGCCTACAGGCTGGCCCTATGGGGAAGGTGTGGGGTGTTCTGGGAAGAGTCAGACAGCATGCCAGACTGAGGAATGAGCTATCAGGTGTGTAGAGTCAGTCTAGGGGTCCCAGGGCCTCCAGGAGGATCAAGAGTGGTACAGGAATGCATGAACGCACATACACATACATATCACAGGCATATATGTATCCATGTGCACACACACAAACATATATCTATATGCCCACATACACACTACACATATATACATAGATACACACATACATGCATATACACACAAACACATACATCATACACACATACCTATAAACATATACATATATACCACATATATGCACACATACATACACATATAGAGATATATGCCATACATATACACATGTACACATATACATATATGACACATATATGCACGCACAATGATATACAGAACACACATATACCACACAGTACATACATACATATATATACGCCTGTACACAGATACACACAGATACATACCACTCATGCATATACACATACATATATACACATAGAAACACACATACACACACAAACATATGTACATATACACATACACATATGCACGTGCACGCATACACCAGAGGTCTGACAAAGCTGCGAAGCAGGCCAGGTTCTGGGGAGGGCTGGGGCGGGCTAGACGGGGCCGCTTGGGGCAGCTAAGGAGCTTGGCCCAGGGGACCATAGTGCATTGCCAAGTGTACCCTTGGGCTCTCGGGGAAGCTCTGTAAGGGGGCAGCACTCAGGAACTGAAGGAACGGACAGAGGCCTGGAGGAGAGGCAGGCCAGCAGCCAGGAGAGAAAGCTGAGCACCAGCCTCAGAGAACACAGGGGAGGAGCACGCTAGGCAGTTCTGGCTAGGGGGTGAGGGCTGTCACTTTCTTTTCCTGGCAGTCCCTGAGCTCTCACTGAACTCCAAGTGACTATCACGGGTACCAGGAACACAGCCCAGAATGGCTCTATGCTGACACCCGACGAGACGTCCACACAAGAGGAGGAAACACAGGATGCAGATGGGGCTTGGGTCTCCTCAAATTTCCTTGACCTCTACCACCATCTCTCATGTGAAGGCACCTGCTGGTCTGTGTCATAGCTCCCCTATGACCCGACACAGGGGAGATGGAGGGGGCAGAGCCAAGCTCAGGAGGTGTGGGCAAGGCTTCACCCACCCTTCACTTCCCCTCCTCAGGGGCCTCTTGGCTTCTGTCCCTGGCTTGCACCCTGGAGCCCCAGAGAAACCAGCTCATAGCCCTGCAATGATTCTATTTCACAGAGGACAAGTAAGAGACCATCAGCCCCTTGAGTTGATCTCCCGATACCTCCACTCCCTCATCTGTAAAGAAAGGTGAATACCCTACCCTCCTGGCAGGGCTGCCTGGAGAGGCACACAATGAGAGAACAGGGCACATCTGGGTCTGAGAGCTGAGCACTGAGTGGAGCGGCCTCTCAGTTTCCTCTCTGAGACCCCCATCCCCATCCCACCCATTTCCAAGGCTGGTCCAAGGGATGAAGTGAGTTAGTTTGGGGCACATCGAAGCAAACCAACAGCAAACACTCCTCACCGTGCCTGAGTCCCAGAACCACCAAGGAAAAACACGAGAGCGCCCCCATCACCAAGCACAGCACATCCCTCACACACCTGTCCCTCACGAGGGCCTCCTTGTGTTTCTCTGACTTTGTTTTCAGTAGGATTCACTGAGGAGACACAGGCTCCAGGGAGAGGGCAGACTGCAATGGTGCCAAGGGCCAGGTGGGCTGTGCCTAGAGCACAAGCTGTGAAATGACATCAACGCTGGTGTTCCTGGTGTCCCGGCTCACGACCCTCCAACCTGCTCACAAAGCAGGATGCCATTTCCATCTCAGGAAAGTTTCTACATATTATGTCTCCACGGTGTTCTCTCACAAGCTCAGCTCTGAGACCTCCATCAAGCTCAAGGTTAAGTCCAACCCGTCCCACCCCTTGTCCATCTCACCTCTTTCTTCCTCCTCTTCCCTTTGGACTTGCTTTCCTTGAGCTTCTTGGGCTTCTTCTTCTTAGGAAGGCTCACGGGCTCTGCAGGAAAGAAGTCCTCAAAGCCTTCAAGGCCACCATCTTCTTCTTCTGAAAGAGTTCAAAGGGGGAGGGGTCACCCTCAGTTTCTCTTAGCCAGAACCCAGGGAGGGGTCAGGGAGGACAGGACCTGCACTCTCCCCAAACCCAATCATGCCGGGTCACAGCCGTGGTACCTGTCCCAGGCCCAGTGAGAACAGGAGCGTCCACTCCAGCGGACATCACAGGTTGCCTCCCCTCTCTGGCCTTTCCTCCCCCTTCTGTAAGATGAGGTTATTTTCACCTACCCTGAACTCAGCAGAAAAAGTGAATTTCTAACCAAGCATCCTTATTGACCTGGCTGCCCAGGGAAGAAACAACTCCAGGGGATGCCAGAGCCATCACTAGCTGACCCAGGGAGGGGTGGGGCCCAACAGAGATGCCAAGCTAAGGTTCATCTCTGGCCTTCAGAGGTCCACAAGGAAGATGGCTGAGATGTAGCTCATGAATGCCAGACAATAGGGCACACAGGTCCCATCACCCGAGAACCACTTGGAGTTGGCATGGTAAGTACTAGAACACTGGAGAAGAATCAACCAGGAGGATGGCAGAACAGGCCATGTGCTCAACAGGACCCCTCTTAAGGAAGGATTCAAAACCACCCTGCTTCTCCCTGCCCAGCCCTGCACAGGCACACAAGTACATAATCTCAGGCGCATAGGTGTAGCGAGATGCCAAGCCCATTCCAACTGGGCATCCACCACACGTGGGCTTTCTACACCGCCTACACATCCCAAATTCCCTTGCTGGCTTCAAGAACTAAAGGCCAAAAAGCTGGACCTGGCTTGCACAGCCTATAACCCCAGAATTGGGGGTTGGAAATAGGCAGATCCAGGGAGCTTGGTGGCCAGCCAGCCTACATGGTGAGCTTCTGGTTCAGTAAGAGTTCCTATCTCAAGACAGGAAGGTGGGAAGTGATATCTGATATCTTCCACCATCATTAAGTATTGTGCACACCCATACACACATGTATACATACCACACACACACACACACACACACACACACACACACACTCTAATGGCCAAGAGGAGAGCAAGGTGGGCTTAGGAGCTGGGGTGTTTAAAAAACTGCCTATAGGCTGGGAGTGGTGGTGTGGTGGTGCACGGCTTTAATCCCAGCACTCGGGAGGCAGACGCAGGTGGATCTCTGTGAGTTCAAGGCCAGCCTGGTCTACATAGTGAGTTCCAGGACAGCTGGGGCTACAGGGAGACCCTGTCTCAAAAAGACCAAAAAAAAAAAAAAAAAAAAAAACCCTGGCTATCAGGTCTAAGCCACCCCCCCAAAAGGAGAGGGGGGTAAGCGTCCCCCCAGCCCACCTCCAACTTCAAAAGGATTTCCATTGTACTTGGGGTACGGTGATCTGGAGCCTGACTTTCACACACTGGAGAAATCAAAGTTGAGCCCATGTACCAGACATGTCCACAGAGGAGGGGTGGAAAGGGTCCTTGAAAAACAGGTCAGAGGGCTGGAGAGATGGCTCAGTGGTTAAGAGCACTGGCTGCTCTTGCAGAGGACCTGGGTTTGATTCCCAGCACCCACACAGCAGCTAACAACCATCTGTAACTCCAATTCCAGGGGAATCCAATGCCCTCTTTTGGCATTGCACGACACAGGTGCACTTATACACATGCAGGCATTACACTCATACACATAAAATAAAAATAATAAAATATTACTAAAATAAATGCAATAAAATAAAAAATTAAGACAGGTCAGTATGAAACAAACCACCCAGAGAGTCAACCACCCACAGAGGGAAAAAAGTTTCCAGAAGGAAGAAAGTCCAAAGGCCACATAAGGGGCCATGAAAGAGCCAGTCCACAAGCTGGGGGCCCTGGCAGGCTCCCTCCTAGGTTCATCGGGGCTTAATCAGGGCGGCGTAACAGGCGCTCACCCAACTGACAGTCACTGAGGGTAAGACATCCTGGGATGTCATTACAGAGTTGTTCCAACAAACAGCCTGTATGTATCACACAGTGAAGCCCACACATGCCTGCAGTTACACACAGGTGTGCAGAAAGGCATGTGATATGTACTGGGACACACCCAACAACTATCCCTCAGGTTCCACATGGGTTAACTTGCCCATCGGCAGTCCCCTTACCCCCCAGAGTCCCATGGGAGCAAAGGAGTCTCTCACTGAATCTCTTAGGAGCCTGTGCCCAGTGGGTGCACCTTCAGCTACACTCTCAAAGGGTGTTAGTGGATCCTGGGAGCTAAGCAGTGTCAGTCTGCACATGGATGACCTACCAGGGTACCACCTTTACCCCTCTGCACTAAGACCCCATCCAGAGCTCAAGTCCTGCCTGCCAACAAGCTCTCAGGACTCCACAGGGCAAGATAGGGAGTGTCAAAGTCCCAGCCCCTTCCACTATGAGAGTGGGAATCCAGAGGTGCAGCAAACAAACACAGAGGAAAGGCAGACGGCAGGCAGGACTGGAAGCTGCTGCAAGGAGGTGGTCTGCGCTGAGGTGGCCTAGGTACAGTCCAAATGCTGGCCATCCCTGGAGGACCACTACAGCATATCCCGATCTGCAGAGAGGGGCGTGGCTGAGGAGCCCCCATGTAGATGGCATAGCTGCCAGGATCTTGGCAGGACTCCAACACACAGAGGCGTGGGCAGTGGCTGCCATTCCAGAGTTAGGTAGGGTTATGTGGTCCAGGCATCCAGGGGATGTAGGTGCTAACCCTCCTATCCCTCCCAGCTGTGCCGTGCCAGGGACAGGGAAACATGCACAGGGACCCCCAGTGTCATTCTGGAATGGAGCAGTCTGGGCAGTAACATCGGTGATGGCAGAAGGCCAGGCTAGGGTGGCCAATGGGAGCCACACCTGTGCACTCGTCCAGTGCCACCACACCCCCTGGCGGTGCTCCTCACTGGTTATGTAACAGGCTCCAGGCTGATGCAATCACAGGGGCCTCTCTCCCTGCTTCCTCTGGCTTGTCTTCCAACTCCCAGAAGGCGGTCCCCAGGCTTAGGAAGCCAGCCCAGCACATGTTCCCCAGCTGACCAGAAGAAGAGACAGGGATGCACAGGTAGCCCAGAATGTTCTAGAAGGAAGATTTTGACCTGCCTGGGGGTGGGGAAGAGGGCAAGAGGAAGCTCCTAATATACCCAGAACAAGCCCCAAATCCTACATCCATGAACAGAACCCCTTCTTCTACCCCAAGAAGATGTCACAGCCCAGGGCTGTCTGCTTGGTAACATCTTCCTCCAGGAAACTTCCAGAGCTGGCAGAGGAGAATAAGGACCCAGCTCTGACCACGCCTATGTCTAACAGGCACTTCCTGTTCCCATATGGCTTCCGATAGCCCTAAGGATACCTCAGGCCTGGCCCTCTACAACACTGCACCCTAGTCCTCACTGGAGCCCCCAGCCCTCTCCTCCCACATGGGCCCTCCCCGCCTTCCAGTAACAGGTCCTGTTAAAACCAGACTTGGGGGCCACCATCCAAGCAACCCCACTGTCAGCCACACCCAAGCCTCAAGCTTGTGCCCTGGCACCCCTGCCCCTCCTTCCCACAGCCCCATCTTGCAGGGGCAGGGCAGAGGCATGGAAGGTTCTGAAATGAAGGGCATTTAGCCAGTGTAGTGTGAGGAGGGGGGGATTCCACTTCCCTGGAGTAAGGGGATCCACGGTGGGGGCAGCCAGCCACAGGACTGCTTGTCCTGCCAGCTCTTGGCCCCTGGAGGCTGCCCACTGCCCTTCTGGCCTGTCTAGCTGTACCATCTTGTGCCAGCCTGGCCCCTCCAGGGCCTGAGGCTCCATCGATCCCAGCCAACTATAATTAGGACCATTAGCTTGGTTACTCCTGACTTCCTAAGTGGCCCAGTCAGAGCAGGCCTGAGGAGGGAGGGAGGGAGGGAAGCTACTTCAGAGGTTGGAGTTGGGGGAAGTGGAGGGACGGAGGGATGAGGACGGGGTAGAGATCACCAGGGCAGCGACTGTCAAAGCTTTTTTCCCAAACTCTCCCCAGCCCCTTGTTAGCTCACTACACACGCCCTGGCTCAGGCCCTCACTCTCCTGCTGCTCCTGGGTGAGCTGGGTAACCCTTCCCAGCTAAAAACTTACAGCTGAAGCAGAGTTGGGTATGGTGGCACAGGCCTATAATCCCAGCTCTCAACAGGCTGAGGCAGGAGGATATCAAGTTCAAAGACATCCTGGGCTACACAGTAAGACCTTGTCTCAATAAAACAGTGAAACGCTACCCTGCCCTCATTTGCAGATATGGGAACTGAGGCTCTGAGGACCTCACCACCTGCCTACACCTTCGTTCCACAGCTGTCAGGCCTTAGAGCCATGTGGGAACTCAGGCAGGAGGCTTCTACCGCTGTGCGCTCCTTCTCCCCTCCCTCCAGGCCGTGGACCTGCCCAGAACCCATTATTTCAACCCAAGTGCACCCTGGTATGCTAAGCTCAGGTCTGCATCCCAGGGCCACTGAGGTGGCTACAGCCGGTTCTGGGACTGGGAGTTCTAGGGGCCCCTTTGGGACAGGGTTTCGGGACAAGACCAATCCAGGGAACTACACCCTGGGTCAAGTCCTGGGTGGAGGGGCAGTCTCCAGGGAACTTTGCAAACAAGGTTGTGGAGAGAGAAGTTAGTCCATCTTACTGGGTGCTAGACAGAGGGGACAGAGCAAGGAGCTAAGACCTCCATGGTTCCAAGGAGGGTCAATCAGCCAGTGGTGTTCCCAAGGACCTGGGTATAGGGACTCCTTCTGTTCCCCACCCCCAATCCATCTCCAAGCAGGAAACAGGGCCATCTAGTGGTGAGGAGGAAAGAGGGACAGGGAAGCACACAGCTTCAAACCATCACCCCTTCCCGACTGGTGACCCCAGAATCCTGCCCCACCATATGATTTCTTCATCTGTGAAATGGGTTTCGTTCAGCAGCCTTCCTCCAAGGCAAGGGAGAGGACTAGAGTTACGAACAGCTGAAGCCTTATGGGAAGAGCCCAGGAGGGGTTACAGGGTAGAAGCACCCTGTGACCAGGACTTCCCGCCAATG